TGGAGGGGTGCTTAGAAGAATGGTAGTGGGTTGAGAAATTTTACAACGGATGTTGGATTGGGAATTAGGAGTGCAGATCGACGGGCAAGCAAAACAAATGTTGCAACAAAAACCCGATCATGATAAGTAGCGACTTAAAACCAATGGCTGAAGCTAAGAACTGAGGTAACAGCTGAGAAGAAGAGATATGCTCCAAGTCCTTCCGCATGTGATGAGATCTGTTCCAAGTCTTTCTTTCATATGGTCTTTACTGTTCTTGCATACTCGAAGTTTGTTATTGATTATCTATACCTGCAGTTTTGGATGTGATCTCAGGTCAAGTGCTTGCTTATTGTCCCTAATTGTTCTTTTTTGTTATGGTTGGTACTGCAAGTGAGAAGGCAAATGAGTTGCTTGCTTATGCTCATGAGACACATCATGAAAAGATCATTCGGTAGGTTTTGCTTTTTGTATCTCCAGTTGCCGCTGCACTGCCTTGATTTTCTCCTAAGAGTTCCTCAATCACTTGAATAGTTCACAACCGTGGTGGGACATGGATAAAACCAGCAAGCCTTCTCAAGACACTTCTATCTTCTGGTGCCTGAAAGATGCCCATTGCTGATGGAGAGTAGGTACTGGAGAAGCATTGAATGGTACTTTTCTCACCAACTCCAGTAGTGGAGACAAGATGGAAGAGGGTTGGACTGAATTTTGAAACTTAGGTATAGTTTTTTCTATTTAAACGTAGTGGGATAATGATTTCTTCTGTTAGTTTTTTTTAATTGGATTGCTTCATTAAGTGTTTGATTGGTTCAAATTGGTGAGGTGTGCAAAAGAGGAATACAACAGTGTGAATAGGAGATACTGGTGCAAGAATCAATTGTTCACCTGTAGCATACAAATTTTGTAGGGGTGCTGGTTCATTATCTCTGTATTGTTTGTATGAGATTATGAAAATGGGTTTTATTGGTAGGTTGAATAGTTTCAGTAGTGGTTTCAAGAAGGGAAATTTCATCTTTCATTTCATTATTCTCAAATTAACTGGATTCTTTTGGTCGATTAAGGCATTCTTGATAAGGACTATGACTACTGAGTTGTGAAGGACTGTGATTCCTGCATTGGGAAGTAGAGATCTTTCGACACTGGTGCTGGTGTGTTGGGCTCCTTAATAAGTTCTTATTCAGCATGCAAATTCGTATCAAAAGAAGAACCTGTCTAGGAACATGTTTGGTATGACTTAGTGGTAAGTTGTCATAGTAAGTTTGTTGGATGATACTTACTGATATAGGGAGGAATTTGCATAAATCTGGGCCAAGTCCACATCTAGCTGCAGGTCCATTATGTTTCACTCACTTTCAGCATCCATGTGGTAGGGTTGTATCCGTCTTTGATACTAGGAACTCCCAGGAAAACCTTTTTCGTTGTACTTTGTAAGATTCATCAGAAAATTGAATAGGTTGACACTTAAGCACAGGTCTGATAGTTGCGGTTATTATGTTTGTTCAGTTGTCTTCACTACTGCCTATCTTTGGACGGGATCCATTTGTCGATTCACCGACAAATGTGGCACTTTATTCCCCTGACGCTAAGGTCCCAGGGACTGGAGAACTTGCTTATAAGGAAGGAAATTCCAGCCAATGCAAACATCAAGACCATACAGGTCCTTTCTCATACTTCTAAGGATCTCACATCAGAAGTCATAGCTCATATTGAACAATGGAATGCTTTGTGATAATAACCATTAAGGTATTTATCAGCATACTCTTTTTTTTTTTGGCATCTAGGTGGAGTTGTAATAATCATATGCCATGTTAAAAGTTCATTAGCAACTAAAGAAAATAGATGTGTCAGTGTGTATGTTCTTTATTTTTATAACATGGTGAGATGATTTCAGATTGTAATAGAGGAATAGGACTCCATTTTGCCAAGTGTACCTGCAGAGTTCAGGGACAAGGGTTCCTCATACATGTGTCTCTAATTGATGGGTAGGTATTGCAATTTGAGATGGTTGGAATATGGAAACTGCTCAATGTTACCTTGGTGTCTCTTCATCCTTGAAACACTCGAGCAATGACTGGATTAAAGAAATATATTTTCATTTGAAGTCTAAGTTCAATTTTGAAAGATACTAAATTACCTTTTTTCGTTTTCAAGGTTGGTTTGCAAGCTCTCACTAAAAAAATCAAGGACCAGGACCCAAACAAAGTTTCAGCGAGCCTTGCATCTTCGCTTGATACCATTTCTGAGCTTGACTTGCTACAAGTATGTAATAATTCACTTATGCTTCTTCCCAATTCAAATATTGTATCCAGTAACTAGAACTAATCTCCTTTGTAATCACTATTCTGTATCGACCCAGCAACCTGCCAATCTGAAAAGTTGTAATGTTTTTTTTCATATTATTAATTATTTGTGCATGGATGGACTCACAAAGATATCAAATTATTTCTTTTGTCAAGCTCACCAATCTCTACCAAAATATTAAATTCTTTACATCTGCCAATTTTATTTCTTTGAAGGATCCATAAGCATTGCAGAATTGGTGAATGAATAGATTTTCTTGGTTTGTAATTGTAACAGACTTCAAGACCTTCTTATTTGTTGCCAGAGCAATACAAGGATTTTCCAAGGTAAGCCCTTCCATTAATTATCCATGTGTGATGTGTTGTATTGCAAATTAATAGATGCATGCACAAAACTAATGATAGCCTTTTCATTGGTTTTATGTTCTGACAAGAATCTATTGGCTTGTAGGCTAAATGATAGAGGTACTGTTGAATTATGGAAGACAATCGAGAAAGGAGATGGTTCAGCATTTTTCCTTGAAGAGAGTGGTGAATTATGGAAGACAGTCAAAATTCAGGTCTGATGAGTAATCTGTAATCCCGAGAAAGCAAATTTCCTTCCATTTTTATATGCATTTCTGATTTGAATCTTCTGCATGCTCGAAGAACTGAATTTATGGCTCTTTGTATATAATTTTAGCTAACTTTCCTTTCACTTGCTTTTGAAGTATATACTACACACAGCTAAATCTCTCGCGGCGTAGCCGTGGGTATTGATACTAGTAAAAATAATTATTGATGGCCTTTTAGTTTTTCATTCTTTGTACTTCCAGAGACCAACAATGTCTCAATTCTTGGTACCACATTCCCCAAGTTCTTGGGTTGGTTAGTTTGCTTTTTTCCGGTCTTTATGTGGTTCTGAATTTTACAGGGTAGAATCAGCAGAGGAAGGCATTTAAGAGGAAAGACTGAAATGTCAGTGTGCTCTCATGAAATTGAACCAATGAGGCTAGACTTTAATCTCATCAACCTGACATCTGAGCATCTTAGGTGATGGTATATTTTTTTATTATATGATGTACTCATTCTGGAATGTAAACTATTTGGATTTAGCATTTGCTGATTTTTGTTAGGGTTTGTGCATTTCTTATGGAAATTGCAGTAGATACATAAACCCCACAAATCCTAGAAGTGTCTGATTCGTGGTTTGATCTCTACCTACCATTTCGTAATCATCATTTCTGTTGCTTCTTTACCTTGGTCATCACTGTGTTGTACAGTCCAGATCAGTAATGCATTGCATATTTAATCTAACTGTGGTTGCAATTTGACATCCGTCTTATAAATGTGAATAATATAATTTCTATCATATGCAAAGCTTATGCTTAAGTTCATGCCTGGCTGGCTATACAAATTGTCATGCACCCTACAACTTCATTAACCATTGAGAGCATTAAACATTCACAGTTTGATCACTTTCATGCTAAGTTAACTAAATCTTGGACCTTTCCAATTTATCTTACGTTATGTTATGTTTTTTCATTTTACCTTGTGATCGATGTATGCATCTTCTTATATTACCTTTAATTGCATCCCTCTGAATGCACTGAACTTTCCCTTCTCATCTGCTTGCAGTTGCTTCTTTCTCCATTCCCAACACACCTTTTATACCTTCATACCCCCCTATCTCAATCTTTTTTCATCCTTTTCCAATTCCTTTCTCCATCTCGCCAACCATTTTTCCTTCTCATCTGCTTCAAATGGATACTTGTGTTGCTGTATTTTTCAAAATTTACATTCTCCGTTCACATATCAGCCTGCAACTCACCGTTTGAGAATGGTATATACAAGTGCAAGAAGTTGCTTAGAGTTTGTGCAACTTCTTATATTTTGATTCTAAGAGTTTGTGATTTTTCCTTATGCTAATTTTACAGCCTTCAAGTTGAGGTGTTTGTGCCTCATATAGAACTTGTTAATGTCTGCTAAATACATATTTGGTCACCTTTCTAGTTTTGTATGATGAAACTACTCAATTATCTGTGTGGTTGGCCTTATTTTCCTACTTATTTTGATGAGATTGGTTTGCTTTTCTTTTAAGACTAGCTAGGTTGGTTCTATGTATCACGTTATGTTGGTAATATTAGTTAGTATATTAAAATAACATGTTAAGAAAATACTATTCATTAGAGTCACATCCTAAAGTGATTGTTTTGTAATTTTACACTGTAAATAATGTAATTTAAGTGCCTTATTATTTGGTTTTGTTTCTCTTACATCCTTTCACTCTTCTTTGAAGTGCCTTGTTTTTTGGTAATCTTGGTAATTTTACCCAACTTTGTTTTTTGAACTTCAAATCCACTTGCTTTTTCCTTTCCCTATCCTATCTAACCCACCCACCGAGCCAGCCATCCCCATCTCCATCTCCATCTCTCTAGATGAAAGAAGACCAAGGAAGAACATGGAGAAGAAAAGGAAGAGGTAGAATGCCATTTGTTAATTGATCTTGCTCTCTCCTGCTGCCTAAGCTCTTCCTCCGAATTTCATTATGTTGTTTGAAGAAAAACCCAGAAACGCTTGTTTTAACCAACCTCAAAATCATGCCAGCAACGAGTTTGCTTATGGGAGAAGGATGATCTGCCGACTGCTCGGTTAGATGGTGAGTTCCTATCTCTGTTCGTTCTTTGATTCCTTTTAGTATTTTGGATTATGTGTAAACGTTGATTTTCTTGGTTAGGTTGTGACTTTCTGCCTCAAGAAGTACAGGGATGCAACATCAAATGGGTTCTTATATGCTCTCTGTGATGGAAGCTCTTCTTATGTTTTCGTGGATGCGTTGTCCTTTGCGGATTTCCAATTCGGGTGGGGAGAAGTCCAAACAAACTAGGTCATGTTTTTTTCCTTTTCCATTTGGATTTTTACTCGATGGAAACTCTTCCTCATTTTTCCGTTAATTTATTGTCCGCTGCATAATATTCCCTACGGTTCCATGACGGTGATGAGTCCTTTAAAAAACTCCTTGGATTTTTCATCCAAAGAAGTCACTCCAATCTCTCTTAATTCCCATCCTCTTTGAGTTCTTATTTCCTAATTCTGCAATTCATTACACCGCATTGACTTAACTACAATTTTGATTGGGTTATAAACATACAGTTCGCCCTAAAAGAACACTTCTATTACAATTTACAAGCAATGCAAAGCCCCAGCGCGAAGCGCATGCTTCCGTTCTAGTTTAAAATAAAAGGATCAAAGAATTTGCAGAGTGTTCAGAGCACTTAATGACCAAATCTCTAAACCAAGCTCATTACCTTCATCTTAAGCATCCATCATTTGTCACATGAATTGTTGGATAAGTTACTAGGATTTTTAAAGATGTATGAGACCCTTAACTAAACTCGTCATTTTAAATAACTTAGTGCAGGAGAAAATGGGAGATTGTTATAGAATTTTTTAACCACAGTTCAGATTGTGAACCGTCTGGGGCCCTTCTATTTCTGTTTTTTTAGTAATAATATTTTCACCCTTATAAAAAAAATTATGTCATCTTTTCAAGATGACAGAATGAGACGTATTTATATTGACTAAAGTGAATACTGTGGAGTCATGAATTCTACAGTGGACTTAAGATGATATCATGTTGCTTTTGTTTCTAGGTGAATGAGATTAAGGTGGTCCTTGGTGTTCACCATCCAAATAGCAGATTTTGCAAGGCTTCACCTGGTGAACCCTACTTCCTCCTCTTTATCAGGTACTTCCCAACAATGATGGTTTGGATTTATTGGATTCATTTTGGACCTTCTTAACTCTTAGGTTTATAACTTAAAATTCCCTTCAAACCATTGGAGATCTTACATTGCTATTATGATTACCCAAAGGGTATGGTTGAGGAACTAAAAGCAATGGAGCTCACCGCAATGTTAATGAAGTCCTCTTCTGTAGGATTCCACACCGTGAATGCTGAACTCCATCACCATATACCTCTTTATATATGAAAGAGCCCTTCTAGTGTGCTCTATAGCACCCATGCTATAAAAAACAAAAAAAAAGGTGACCTATTGAGGAGGTAAACCCACTAAATGACTGGTCCCACATCATTAATGGCAATCTTGTAAATAATGAATCAATGTATACAAGTGTAGGTACAACTTAAAGTTGTACAATTATATAGGTACAAGTTTCAGCTGTACATTGAAGAATTTGTTTCACAAAGTGTAGTACAACTTAAAGTTGTACCATTAGTATAGGTACAATTTTGAGTTGTACCATGAAGGGATTTATTAGAAAGTGTAGGTACAACTTAAAATTGTACCATGTTATAGGTACAAGTTTGGGTTGTACCATTAAAGATTTGAGAAAGTGTAGGTACACTTAAGGTTGTACCATTAGTATAGGTACAATTTTTAGTTGTACCATAAGGGATTTGTTAGAAAGTGTAGGTACAACTTAAATTTGTACCATGGTATAGGTACAATTTGGGTTGTATACCATAGAAGGATTTTTAGAAAGTGTAGGTACAACTTAAAGTTGTACCATTAGTATAGGTACAATTTTGAGTTGTACCATAAAGAGATTTTATTAGAAAGTGTAGGTACAACTTAAAGTTGTACCATTAGTATAGGTACAATTTTTGAGTTGTACCATAAAGGGATTTATTAGAAAGTGTAGGTACAACTTAAATTTGTACCATTAGTATAGGTACAATTTTGAGTTTACCATAAAGAATTTTGAGAAAGTGTAGGTACAACTTAAAATTGTACCATATTATAGGTACAATTTGGGTTGTACCATAGAGATTTTGAAAAGTGTAGGTACAACTTAAGGTTGTACCATTAGTATAGGTACAATTTTTAGTTGTACCATAAAGGGATTTGTTAGAAAGTGTAGGTACAACTTAAGTTGTACCATTCGTATAGGTACATTTTAGTTGTACCTTAAAGGGATTTGTTAGAAAGTGTAGGTACAACATAAAGTTGTACCATAGTATAGGTACAAGTTTGGGTTGTACCATAGAAGGATTTTGAAAAAGTGTAGGTACAACTTAAGGTTGTACCATTAGTATAGGTACAATTTTTGAGTTGTACCATAAAGGGATTTATAGAAAGTGTAGGTACAACTTAAGTTGTACCATTAGTATAGGTACAATTTTGAGTTGTACCATAAAGGGATTTTAGAAAGTGTAGGTACAACTAAAAGTTGTACCATTAGTATAGGTACAATTTTGAGTTGTACCATAAAGATTTTGAGAAATGTAGGTACAACTTAAGGTTGTACCATTAGTATAGGTACAATTTTGAGTTGTACCATAAAGGGATTTATTAGAAAGTGTAGGTACAACTTAAAGTTGTACCATTAGTATAGGTACAATTTTGAGTTGTACCATAAAGGGATTTATTAGAAAGTGTAGGTACAACTAAAAGTTGTACCATTAGTATAGGTACAATTTGAGTTGTACCATAAAAGAATTTTGAGAAAGTGTAGGTACAACTTAAGGTTGTACCATTAGTATAGGTACAAGTTTGGGTTGTACCATAGAAGGATTTTGAAAAGTGTAGGTACAACTTAAAGTTGTACCAAGGTATAGGTACAAGTTTGGGTTGTACCATAGACCGATTTTAGAAAGTGTAGGTACAACTTAAAGTTGTACCATGGTATAGGTACAAGTTTGGGTTGTACCATAGAAGGATTTTGAGAAAGTGTAGGTACAACTAAAAGTTGTACCATTAGTATAGTACAATTTTGAGTTGTACCATAGAGGGATTTGTTAGAAAGTGTAGGTACAACATTAAGTTGTACTATAGTGTATAGTACAATTTTTAGGAAAGTGTAGGTACAACTTTAAATTTAGTGTAAAGGTACAACTCTAGAAAGTGTAGGTACAATTTTGAGGAAACACGGCTTATCTCACGGCCGTGACATGACCCGTGAAAGCAAAGTAGTTTTCCTATCTCCAGACAATCACACGGCTTATTCTCACGCCCGTGAGAATTAACAGATGAGCCGTGAGAGGTACAGCATTCAATTCCAAAACACGGCTCATCTCACGGCCGTGATAATGTCGACGGCAACCCGTGAAACCCTCTGGGAAACTGAGAAGTGCGTTTTTACATCCACGGCCTATCTCACGGCTATCTCACGGCCGTGATATTTCCAGAATTACATATCCAAAACCACGTCTTCTTTCACGGCCGTGGGATTTCCAGAATTGGACGTGAGATTTCCAGAAATAGTCTGCACAGACATGCACCTGTACAACTAACCCTTGTACTTATTATAATGGTGCAAGTAACATAATATACTGTTTGTGAAAACTACAAGCTTATGAAAAGATGAGTCATAATGTTCTTTGAAGCTTGACACGAGCATTACATAGATCCTTCTCTAGTAACTGTACATCATATCAGATGAGATACCCTGTTAACAAAAAGTAAAAGCAGTCAAAGCTTTACATTTGTCTTATAAAACAAACATCCATAACACGATTAAATTTGTCTAATTAATGCTTAAGTTTAGATGCATGTAGCCCACACTGGTGCATCATAATATTCTAATTGGAAAATATACAAGCACAAAAGCAAACACACATAGCTAAGTACTAAGGACTTTGGTTGGCTCATCTTCACTGCCCATCTTTCTCGTTAGTGTTCTCGTCCTCGTCTTTGTTTTCCTGGATTTGCTCATCTTCATTGTCCTCGCTAGAGTCACTGCTGTCTTCCTCATTGGTCCCTTTGACCTCTTGATTTTTTCCTTGTTTTGGTCATCGCCATTGCCCTCGTCGTCCTCTTCACTGCTGTCTTCCTCATTGGTCCCTTTGTCCTCTTCAATGCTTTCCTTGTTTTGTTCCTCTCCTTTCTCCACTTGATTTTTTTCCTTGTTTTGGTCATCGCCATTGCCCTCGTCGTCGTCCTCTTCACTGCTGTCTTCCTCATCGTTCCCTTTGTCCTCTTCAATGCTTTCCTTGTTTTGTTCCTCTCCTTTCTCCTCTTGATTTTTTTCTTGTTTTGGTCATCGCCATTGCCCTCGTCGTCGTCCTCTTCACTGCTGTCTTCCTCATTGGTGTCACTGTCCTCTTCACTGCTTTCCTTGTTTTGTTCCTCTCCTTTCTCCTCTTGATTTTTTTCCTTGTTTTGGTCATCGCCATTGTCCTCGTCGTCCTCCTCTTCACTGCTGTCTTCCTCATCGGTCCCTTTGACCTCTTCAATGCTTTCCTTGTTTTGTTCCTCTCCTTTCTCCTCTTGATTTTTTTCCTTGTTTTGGTCATCGCCATTGCCCTCGTCGTCGTCCTCTTCACTGCTGTCTTCCTCATCGTTCCCTTGACCTCTTGATTTTTTCCTTGTTTTGGTCATCGCCATTGCCCTCGTCGTCGTCCTCTTCACTGCTGTCTTCCTCATTGGTGTCATTGTCCTCTTCACTGCTTTCCTTGTTTTGTTCCTCTCCTATGTCCTCTTGATTTTTTTCCTTGTTTTGCTCATCGTCATTACCCTCGTCATCCTCTTCACTTCCCTCTTCATTGATCTCCTCGGTTGGCCTAGGAGATAGTTCCCAAGGTCTTGAGAATTGTTCGTAGTCAATCCTCAAGGACCTCATGATCTGATGGTTGCATTCGATGATGTAGCGTCGAGCTTCCTTCTCTCGATCGAGGCGGGAGAGAATGAGTGCATTTTGCTCCAGAATTTGGGCATTCTGCCGACCCAATGCCTCAAAATGGGATATGTAGCTGTCGGTGGATGGTCCGGCTTGAGTCGTAGTTTGGTGATGTTGTGCAGGTTGTTCCGGAGTCTCCTCGACCATTTGCTGAACAACATGCTCCGATGCGTTTGCCTCATCTGTTGCAAGAGGTCGAGCAGGATGAGGGAGGCCAACAATGCCTACCACACCATTCTCCTTAACCACCAAACACAGACATGATCAATATCAGAAGCATTAGTTACATTTGCTCAATGTTCAAAAGGAACTAGATTAGTAGGCAATCCAAAACTTGCACAAAATCAATCCTAGATTGTTTGAATCCCGACTAGTTATGTTTTAGCATTCACTGTGAAAAGGAAAGTGTTGGTTGGAACATTTACCTTTGACAACAAATTTAGATCCGCAAGGTTTTTTTGGGAGATTGGTTGAGTGGACTGGCAATGGTGCAATGAGAACCCACCGGATCAATGCCAAAATGCCGAGCTAGCCTTGTGATGTAGGCACCTCCATGGATGGTCTTGATTTGTTTGTTGGAGGTGATCTTCTGTAGGGTTTTCAATATGACTATACCAAGATGAATTGGGGGATCTTTTACCATAGAGAGGAAAAAGTTCAAATCCCGCTTGGTCACACTCCCGGGCTCCCCTCCCTAGCTGCCACAGAATGAGCGATAATGTTGTGGATGATACGCCACGGGGAAGAAGATCATTCCCTTTATAGTGGGCAGGGTCAGACTTGTCCACATGGTTTTGTTTTACCGTTCTCCACATAGCATTGACCGATTCTGCTCTTGAATGATATATTTGCTCCGAAATAAAACCATGTCCACCTGTGGTGAGAAATCCTGGTGGGTATATCTGGAGTGCCTCTGTGAACTCAGTGATGCTCATCTGTCTCGCCTGTCCTCCAAGGCGAAAAGTTATGTTGTCTTCGGGCTTGTCGAGGTTAAACTCGGACATTCTCTTGATGGAGAGAGTGCTGAGGAACTCAATGGTAAGCTCTCGGTAGATGACCTCATTGATGGAGAGAACCTCACACCATGCCGGGAGACGGAGGCATGTGCGAACGGGTTCCGCTGCTCCGAGGCGCTCTAGGAGATCCCAATCAAAGCATCTTTGCTGCCCAAATGGGAGGGGAAGGAAGCGCTCCAAAGCCTTCCTATGTTCGACGGGTAATTGGAGGAAGCCGTGAAGTCTCCCTCCTCCAAGTTGAGCCTCCGCTTGTGGTGG